GTGTGTTGAAATACGATTACAAACAATAAAAAAAGGTATAAAGATATTTTGAGTTAAGCTCAGTAGTTATGTATACTATAGTTCGATGCATCTTCGCCAGATGGCATTCGATGCATCTGCGATGCATCTTCGCCACAACTTTTTCTGCTATAACAAAATTTGTTTCGATATGACGATAGTAAAATATCTTTTTATCATACCAAAATACTTTTAACTAGGCATGAAAGAAAACATAGTCTGGTTCTAGTCTTCAGAAGGCATTTTCAAACAGATCTCTTTCACGAGGAGTTACGAGAGACATGACGCAGCACTTGACTTTTGTTTTTAAGACAGTATGTAGTTAACAGTTATCGTTCAAAGAGTTTTATTAATAGAAAATGTGATGTCGATATTCCTCGACATATTTTTTTCATTCATTAATATGTTGTTCACGTAACGCATCAATATACATTATTGCGTATATTATTACATTAACTTAACTCCCGAGTCAAACCTTGACAAGGCAATTCACTCTTACGGGCTTTTATGAGCTATAAATAAGAAACCATATTATTGCTCAGATTTTTTATTCCGAGTGTGTCATAAATTACAACTTCTTTAAAACTCTTAAAATGAGTGCCGAAGCAACTTGACATTTTATTATCTGAGATTACATTATTTTCTCTGGAGAAGTCAGTGGCGTTGCGAAGTGTTTATAATGCCATTGTATTTATTATCTCATAACAAAGTAATTAACTTTTATCATTATTTATAATAGGGGAGCCCTAGAAGGGATTTTGGGATTTACTTGAGCGTGTCAGATTAAGACAGGAGGAGGCTTACACTCAGTTGAGTACCTTCACCATCCATGAACCCTACACATAAGGGGAAGCGTCTAAGGTAGCCCATCAGAAGGTAAGTTGAGCCAATTACATACACATTAGTGTATTTACGTGTACGTTTAGTGTGTATTGACGATTTGAGCGTGACATAAAGCAATGGGAGACCAAAAAAACCATGGCCTTGACATTTTTTTTTTATTTTGAAGCAAATAATGCAAGAAATTTTCTTTAAAGGTCTACATAATTTTTCGTGCCTTTATTTGTCACATTTTATAAAAAATAAAAAAAATGAAAAATTTGTAACCGTCCCATTTAAAATATCCTGCAAAATTATTGTGAGATTTTTGGTTAGTATGAGAAGAACATCAAGCTGAACCATCTTTATAAAATCTTAGACGCTCGGCTATTTCGAAATAGCGATTTTTCGAATTTGCAGATTGCATTTTCGATAATTCGCTAAGAGCTTGTGTCACGTTCAAATCCTTAGACCTTTCAATTGGAGCATTTTTGTCGTCCAAATAACATATCCCTGAAATATCTGTTTTTTTTTTTTCGATTTCCTCCCCTTAAGTACATTTTCGAAAACCTGTAGAAGCTTTTCCCACCGCTTAAAGTGGATACATTGTATAACCATATTCATACTATTACCTAATTTTAAAAATGCAAAAGATTCCCATGACGCTCGAGTAAATCAACATTCAGCATCATGGGCTCTCCAACTAAGAGTTTTTCTTCGGACTTTTTTGAGATGTGATTGTAAAGAGGGATTTTTATTGTAAGGTCAGGTACAAGTCAGTGATTCAAGAACAACTTTATAAATAAATTTGTGTTTTAAAGACACCTTACTAACTACCATTTGGTAGTTTATTATTGATTTGATCTCTGCAATGCGAGCTCCTGATCCTGCCGAACACCGGCGAATAGTCATACACACACACTGTTCTAAAACGGAAGGGTTCTTCATTTCAGAACTTTGACGTGTCACTTTGATTAGGAGTGTGAGAAATCTACTAGATAGATCGTCATCATATCTAATAGAGGTATCTCTGCACTTAGCATACCTTGGTCGATAATCATAATTAGATTTATTACGGAAATAACAAATGAAAAAGTTACCTGAAAAGTTGTATTACGATTTTTCCCATAAGATTTACGAAAGTACACATTGTCCTGTAATAAAGATTAAAAATTGTTACATATAGATATAGCAGTTTACACTGCTGTAATTAAATCGAAAATTTTGGGTAACCAAAAGATATGCTTATAAAAAAATACTCGTATTATTTATTTATTTATACTCGTATTTTTTTATTTTTCTATGTTTCTATATAACAACTTTTAAGAACAGCAGATAGATCTGCTAATTTGTACACTTTTGCTTGTTGGTAGTACTTGTGATATCGAGAACATGTTAATGGGACTTAATATGTGACTAACTTTAGATAAAGTGTTTTACACGAAGTTACCTCGGTCTAATACATGAGTGACTAGAACCAAGCGCTCCACCACCTGACGGGTACACCCTTATTACTTCGCCATTATGGGCTGACCTCGGTTCGTTTAATTCTTTATTACACAGTGAAATTGGAATTCTGGTATGTGTCACCCGGCAAAATGTGCGTGGCATATTAAAAGCTTTAACAGGTTTTACGATGTATTGAATCTTTGCCAAATATTTTTACACCAAAATATCATAGATATATAGTTCTGATATATTTTAAGTTGATGGCAATGGTACATGCTATAAATACATATGTGCTTAAAATAGGAGAAAGTCAAGGAGATTTACAAGCTCATGATGCAACTGTACTGCAGCAATTCTTAATAACAATACACTCCAATGATGTTCGTATTTTAGCTTAGTTGTCTTAATATCATAGTTACCAAATAATTACTTTTTTTATTCACATCATCATCACATCAACAGCTTTTAATAGTCCACTGCTGGACACAGGCCTCTCCTTAGAAAGGAGGTTTTGGCCTACTATACCACGCTGGCCAGACGGGTTGGTATAGGGATTGTATCAAGTTTTCCTTCTTTTTGCAGTGCTGGTGTCCTGCGTTGTTTAGCGCCCTTAGTCGCCTCTTACGACACCCACGGGATGAATTGGGGTAGTGACATTCCGTATTCTTAATCCGTCACTATACGGACTTTTTTTATTAATTAGGTGATTCTCGTTAATGCGAAACCAAGTGACAGAATCTGGCAAAATGTGCAACTATGTGAAGTTAAAATGTGAAATTTGCGATAAATGAGGATTTCGTTTTTTTGTGAATGTAAACCCATTTTTATAAATTATATCATTTCAGCTACTGCATAGTATCTCCCTGAGCTCAAAACATTATGAATATATTTTTAAATTGTAGCAGCATAGTATGTTACCGGAATTTAACAGGCGAACTTCAAAAAACTATAAAAGTAAAGGAAACTAAATAAAGATATACAAGAGAAGGGAAAGTTACATTCTAACAATATTCTATTTTGTAAAAGGGTTGTGTCGTTTAGCCCCTTGTAAAATTATAACGTGTCAGTTAATTCGAGAAAGCCACCTTGCTGTGATTGACACACAATGTAACCACGTCGTGTGTCATTCACGTTCAACAGCAAAGTGACTTAAACATCTTCATGTTATTACCTATATTGGTAAAAAATACACGAAACCTTTTGGCTTTTTTTATTTTGGTTAAATGTGAAGATCCTTAAAAAAAGATCCAAAAAGAAAAGATCCTTAAGTATAAACCTTTTTAAAATAAATAACTTTAAATATCTACCGGATACATACGGTTGATATTTATTGGTTGTAAAATTCACCAAAACACGGGCTGTTTCAATATTCAGGGTAGATACTGTATCACCAGGGACTTCCTTTCTAGGGTATACCTGGTTCCCCGGCTATTAGTACCCGAGACGGCGTGCGGTTTTAGTCGGTTCAAGTCCGACATGCCACCGACAGGTGGTATCCGAGGGGATTTCAGCACGAAAACAAAAAAAAAAAGGGTAGATACTGTGTAACTTACTTTTCATATAGTAACGTGGCGAACCTACCGAGACGTACCTACGGAGGTACAGTCGAGTTCTTTAATATCTGACCATGTTCATTAATTAAAAATATTTTAGCAATGGTATGTTCCATATAATTCTAAACAGCTTTGTCTTACAATAAATTGTAAACACTCCGTAACATCATAAATATGTGACTACATAATATCAATAATATTGCTACAGACAAAGACTCTAAATATCGTGCACAATCCCTTGTTGATTTTTTTCAGTGCAAAGCGAGGTTCATAAATATCTATGCAAATTTTCTGTGCAAAGTGTAGTGACAATAAGTACCCCCGTAGGTACGCCTCGGTATGTTACTATCATTCAAGGGCTTTATATTACATAATAAAAAGATATGTACCTATAGAAATGCTTCTTTTGCAAGTCAGAAGTAAGAAGCTCACTAACATGTACCCACATATTTATATACACATAATTTATTCGTATGTATCTATTTTATGCGATCTTATACTTTAGCTGAATATAATTGAAACTTTTGTTGACTTAAATTTTTTATAGACATACTTTCTGAGTTATAAGAATTATTCAAACTTTGACTTTTGTTTGTCTTATAATAATTTAGCATTTCTAATTTGTGCTTCCAGGAAAGGCAAATTTGCCAGTGTTTATAAGTATATTATATAGGTATGTGTATGTACTCCCAGCAAGATTGTCCCTTAAGGCATGTTTAATTATTTAAGGCATTTATTTAACTCAAGGTTTCCTCGCCTATTCTCCTCCTCTGATCAGATCGAACCGACTAAAACACCTGGTACTCTATTATATGTAGATGAGAACTCAGATATAATCTTAAATGGAACTCATTGAATCCCTTACAAACTAGACTCCATCCATAGCCTAGACTAGAGAATCTTTCAGTTTACAAAAGCATCCCTGTAACCCGTTGCGGCCATCTCACTTATATGTACCTATGTTGTATTTTTTTATTTTACCTATTTTGATTTTTACATAATTCTTTAGGGCACATCCGAGACACCAAAACACCAACAAATTGTACTATATATGTAATAATAGTAATTTATAGTACAATTTGTGTCAGTAGAGATTTAGCTGACCTAAATCTCTACTGCACAACGCCATTTATCTCACACGCATTAATAAATGACTTACAGATTCAACGTCGTCTGGGATGATCGTGATTCCGCATTTGGTGAACTCAAGAATTATAAAATGTTATACTTCCTTCAGGATGATCGTATTGCATTCAAGGTACTTAATACTTTTAACTTGATATTTAAGTAATTAGGTGATCAAATCAATATTGATTTGATGACTCCATGGATCGTGACCATAGAGAACTAACTCAGTGGCAATTCGTCTACAGCAGAGGCTCTTGCATCCATCGACAGCTATTTATTGGCCCTATTCGTCGTAGCGTAGATATCTGTCGTGGTCTCTAGTAACGTTTGCAATTCTGACGAGTTACATACCTTGTCAATATTAACAGATGATAGCTACTGCTAGGGTCAGAGCTTGAAAGCTTTAGTTGGCTCTAACCCTGACAATATATGAAAGCTAAGTCGTACTAACTGCTCTATAAAGTCGATGAATTCTTCTTTCCATTCAAAAGTAAATTACATCCCTGGTAGACGACATGCAATAAACTGCAAGCTCTTGTCGCGAGAATGTATTGAAAACATTTGTCTGTCGTTACCACTTGAAATCCAATAAGTGTCAGATAGCTACGCGGGAGAGCGTTTTAAGGTTCCGTACCTCTGAATGAAAATAAGAAACCCTTTTAGGATTACTTATCCTGTCTGTCCATCTATCATAACCAATTCACTCGTTTGGACTGGATTGTTGTGACCTAAACAAATTGTTAATAAACTTTTTTTTTTGTCTGAGACTGTTGGAGACCTCACAAAAAAAAAATATACCCCGTGATATACCAAATAGAATGGTTTTGAGGGTTTAAATAAGAATATGTTATAGTATTTAAGAGACTAGAAATAGTGGCATTCCACAAGGTGGCATTCCATCTTTTTTAGTATTTTCGATGTTGTTTATGTACAATAGACATCTTTACTTTTCTTCTGCAGTGTACATAATATTTGTATGCAGATAATTTTTGACTATATTTAAAGACTAAAATATCAGTCAAATGCTGCGTAGAATTTAAATGGCTGACAGTGGTCCACAATACCTCAAGATCAGACCTTGCAGAGTTTATCTACTCAAAACTCTTGTTACCAGTACCAAGTTTTAGGTTGTATATATCTTGTTATTTCTCAGTCTTCAACTATGGTAGTCAACCTGTAATTTGTAATCTATTTATAAGTTTTTTTGTACATTTTGAATGTAAAACGCCAATAGGGTTTGGTCCTACAAGTGTACATATTTATACTCGTACACTGTGAATCCAGGAATAGGACGCACTCCAATTAACAAAGCTTAATGAAAGTTCTAGCATACCCGCATTATATATGCGGCATATACTCACAGCCTAAATAAATATTAATTAGTACTTAATGAGTAGTACTTATTGTCCGTTAAACATAACTTTGGAAACGTTAGTAAGTGAATGAATTCTTTTGCTGTTGTCACTTTAAGATTAATTGAAGGGAAAGAACGAATTTGATTATCTTCTCATTAATAATAAATATATTTATCCGTGTTAACTGATGTGTCTTCGATTACCGTCTCAACTTTAACTAATAAATTATACTAAAAAGTTGACGACCTGCTTCACTATTTATTAGACGTACTTGAATGAATTTAATATATTAATTGAAAATTATTACAACTAAAATAATTACTCATTTCAAGTAATTAATTACTCCTGTTTACTAGTAAATAGATTAGAGAAAATGTTTAAAAAAAACCTTAACTCATATTTCATCACTAAAAGAAATATTATATTCTCCTTTCCCGTCAGTCATCTACATTTTAATCATGAAACTGTCTTTAAAAAATAGCAGACCCATTAAGTTGAAATAAAACCTAAAATTACGTTATACTTTCACAGGAAATCCACGACGGAAAAGGAGGCAAAGACCCATTTCCATTGCTGCTCAAGAAGATTAAGCTACCAAAGAAATGGAAAGAAAAACCCGGTAAGTTATACACTAACATGCACTCAAAATTTTAAACGCTTGACGCAATTTCATCGCACATAAAACAATACTACCTACTTACTACTTACTACTTAAGAAATATGAAATGTTCCAAACTAGTAGCATCCATTCCTATGCAGATGGGAGTAGGGGTACGGGTACGGGAATATGGGTACGGGAGATGCCTTTTATACTCGCCACTCGAATATTTCTCGGAAAAACGTCCTCGAGAGTCGAAACAAAGATGTGTTTGAAATTGAAACTGCCGCGGAGGTTTCAGTTTGGGGTCGACTGGATGTAGTTCTTTTTAAACCCCAAAAAGATAAAATCAGAATCCTAGACATGGACATATCGAACGAAATCCAGTTTCGGGGTCACCTAGAGGGTAAGATCAAATTAGCATCGAAGAAGCTCGATGTACTGATGAGATCGAGGCAGTATTTCACTCCGGCCCACCGCCCATCAGCTCTGTAAAGTTCAGTTCCGGCCGCACATGGAATACTATTCTGGTCTCCGAATACGGGCAGCATAGGACCCATTGTTGAAAAGAGAACAATATATATAAATTTTATATAATTTAGATAAAAGGTCTATTTTATAGTCACTAACTACATTTTTGCCTCCTTACATTCAAACACGTTATTGGTCATTTTCTTTCAGAGACTTCAAAACATTTTCTTAAATCCTGTCCCAATCCTTAATTTGTACATTCTGTCATGAACAGGAAAGGACTCTCGATATGTTTATTGTTACTGTATAAAGTTATTTCTATTTCTGAAATTTACGGCATCAATTTTAAGATCAAATAAGATTATTGTTAAATTGGACAAGTCACACACAATTTTTATGATGTCCTCCGCCACACATCGCAATTTCTCTACACACTAATTTAATCAAAATCATGTATATATTTATTCAATAGTTACTATACTGTTTTGTTTTAATATTGATATAAATAATAGAAGGTAAAAGTAAGTTCGTTGTTAGGCTTTTATAATTCAGCACAATAAGTGAAATTTAATATCGAGAATCACCTTATAACTTTAAAATTTGTTGCAGCATATGTAAACTTAACTAAAGATGGATAGGTTATAAAGCATTGTAATTAAAGTGGTCAAAAAGCTTAAATCAGTCTGACAAACACATTTAGTATTCAAAGCTATGTTAAGACTAATTCCAACATAACGATCCGGTAGAAGCACTCCATAATGTAGTAATTAGCAATAATGGAGCAAAACCACAATCTGCAACAGGAAATAATATTGAATATAAATTGTGCTACTCGTGAGGAGTTGGAAGAGTGTTCAAGTCATAAATAAAATAAAGATCATTATTTCATCCTCAGCCTAATTATCGTATTCTACTGTTAACAATTCTGGTTACAAATTTAACGATAAAAAAAAAGTGTGCGTCTCGGAACGCCCGACAGAAGTGATAACTTAAACTAATCTAAGTTAAACGATTTAATATTGAAATTGTTTAACTTGAGAAAATCTTAGGTTATTACTTAAATTTTATGCGAAGCGTCTGTCCGAAATACGGCTGTGGGTAAGAGTGAGAGAGGCGGAACCTGCCTACCGCCGCCGTAAGCGTGAGAAAAAGGGAAGCCAGACAGACTGGCGCCGTAACGCGTTAAGTAACGAAGCGGTTTACCCTCCCATACAAAGTTATCACTTCAAAATTATAAGCACAAAAATATTTATGTTCTTTCAATGACGCTTGTTAAAGTCGTTGATTAAATAAAATAAAATAAAATGCTGATATAACCTTAATGGTGTTTACACCTTAGTATAGGCTGGTTTTACATTTCATGGGCCCCGTCGTGGTCCACCCGCCGGCGCCTCAATCGAGGTCGGCTCGGTCCTCGTACCGGTCCGGGCCCAGATGAGGTACCTGGGTCTGGTCCTATACGGTAGGTGGCTCTTCGACGAGCACTTCCGACAGCTTGGTCCGAAGCTGGTGGACACTGCCTCCGCCCTAGGGCGACTTTTGCCCAATTTGGGCGGGGCCAGTGTTCCCACGAGGCGGCTGTACGCGGGGGTTGTCCGGTCCATGGCGCTTTATGGTGCACCGGTGTGGGTGGCGGCTCTGACCGCCCCGAATAGGGCGCGCCTCTGGCGCCCCCAGAGGATATTGGCGGTCAGAGCCATACGCGGATACCGCACGGTGTCCACCGAGGCGGCTTGCGCCTTGGCCGGAACACCCCCGTGGGATTTGGAGGCGGAAGTGCTCGCCGAAGTTTATCGGCGAGTGGCTGACTTCCGGGCGGAGAGCGGATTTCGCCCTCCGCCCGAGGACGTGCGCGACTGGCGCGAAACCGCTCGCCGAGCCACCATGGTCAGATGGTCGTTCCGGCTGGAGACTCCACGCGCTGGCTTCGCCGCCGTGGAGGCTCTCCAGCCGGTCATCGCCGAGTGGGCAGTGCGGCAGCACGGGACCCTTTCCTTCCGGCTGACGCAGGTGCTTTCCGGGCACGATTGCTTCGGAAAGTACCTGCACTCGGTCGCTAGGAGGGAACTGAGTCCCGCCTGCCACCACTGCGACTGCAGTGAGGACTCGGCCCAGCACACGCTGGCGGTCTGCCCCGCATGGGCGACGCAGCGCCGGGCCCTCACTGCAGTCATCGGAGCAGATCTCTCGCTACCGGCCGTAATTCGCTCCATGGCCGGTAGCGACAGTTGTTTTACCGCGGTCGCAACCTTCTGCGAGGAGGTAATCTCGCAGAAGGAGGCGGCGGAGAAGGCCCGGGAGGACGACCTCCACTCGGACCTGATCCGCCGCCGGCGAACCGGGCGGCGGAGGCGCGCTTACCTGCGCCTCATGCCGCCTTGAGTGTGGCCGCGGGTGGACGGGGTGGGTTTCCCCTCCACCCGCATTAGTTTGGCCAGCCGCGAGGGGGCGGCGTCCGCGTGTGCCGGACGTCGCCTAAAGAGAGGAAAATTTTGAGACGGGGCCCGCAATAGGAGCGGGCCGGCGCTAGGAGGGGTCCAGAAGGCGATAACTACCTGGACCCCTCCTAAACTGGAAGCGCAAAGAGGGCACACCGTGTGGTTTTAGTCGGTTCGAGTCCGACACACCACCCCGCCGCAAACCCCGGTGGGGTGACGGTCCGAGGGGATTTCCACACGTTAAAAAAAAAAAAAAAAAAAAGGCTGGTTTTTACATAAAATTTGTTGAATTCTCCAACCGTCTACACTCTACCGTATATAACTACACAATCAGAATACCTGGGCTTACGAAATTATTTTGTTTATATTGTATTTTGGGGACCTACAGAGAAGTAAATTTATTACAATAAAAATAATTAATCTGTCCTTTTGTGATAATTCATGCAAGGATTCCAGAGCTTTTTAACTGCTTTTTTATTAGAAAATTATGTGTAGGAAACCTTAATTTATCCAGTAAATAAAATAAAATAAAATAATAAATAAAAAATATTTATTGTTTTAACATGAATGTAGGTAGCTATTATAACAATATTTAACTTATAACTTATCTTAAGCTAAACATAAGGGTAAGTATAATTCTTAAAACCAGAATAACAAATATATTGATAATTAATTTTTGTTCTATAAGCAACATAGACCTAATGAGATAGAATAACACAATCCTAACAAGTGGTAGCAGCTAGTATTGACAGCTACCCTCCGCACTAGTAAAAACTGTGTTGCGGCAGTGTAGTTATCATCGAACTAAGTGACCATTTTTAAAAGTTACGTGTTGCATGAGCGAGTGCTTGACTGTATGGCTCATTGTTTATTGGATGCGTAATACGGTAAGTATAGTATATGGAAGATTAATACATAAAATTAATTTAGTGAAAATCGAAATACAGACAAAGTGTAATGTTTTTAAATGAGAAACTAAGATACTGCGTCAACTTAACTAACTTACTTTTCATTTTTTTTTTTTCCTTCTTTTTATTTTGGTTAGTGTGTAATAATTACACAATATCTACATAAATACACATATATACTAAAATAAACATTAATTAGGTAATATTGTTATTTTATATTTAAACTATTGTTTTGATGTATCTATATTGATAAATAAACATACAAATTTATCCAGTAGATGTCAATAATGTTAATACAAGCATAGGTCAAAAACATTCTAACGGAATTGGGCTTGTTTTTTGTCAGAGATTTATGTGGTTTTGTTCAACATAGTGGATAAGAATAAGATAATGCGAAATAGATAAACGGCAAACATGTATTATATGTATCTGCGTCGACAAAAGCCATATATAGCACCAACAAAGAAGTTACCACAACAAAGTTTGGGCTCTAACTAGGTTGTGACATCAGTTCAGATAATATTTTGAAAATTCACACTGCCGTGTTAAATATGGGTTAACTTGTAGCAGACTAATCAAGTTATGATGCTCAGATAATTCTGCTACAAGTAGTATACGATTTTTCAGAACAAACTAGGTGTAACCAGGACTTATCACTCACGATAGTTTTATATAATTGACTGCACGCATGGCATAGTGGTTTAAGCGGTCAGCTCGATGCTTACTACTACGCTGAGTGTTGTGGCTCCGATCCCCACATGGGACGACACTTTGTGTGATCCACAAATTGTAGTACTGAGTCTGGGTGTTCTTTGTGTCCGTTTCATGTATGTTTGGAAAGTTTTATATATTCGGAGTAGTAGTAAAAAATAAAAATAAAATGAGGAGACGGTTTTTCAGAACAACCAGGTGTAACCAGGACTCGGATCACTCACGATAGTTTAATATAATGAAGAAATTAGTCAAAGCATTGTTACATAATATTACGCCGGGCCCCTAACATTACTTAGAGAAAAGCAGGTAGATAATGTTGACGTATTCACAATTTTAATGCTTAATCTTAAGAAATGATGAAAGTAGACACACATACTTACGACTTTAATAGGTTTGGTTTACTAGAATGATAACGTTTTTACGAAACATATTAAATTATTGTTATGTGGGTAGCGTAAAGATAGCATATTCTAGCTATAAAGTTCGACGA